CCTTTCATTTATGAGATTAAAATTAGTTTAATTATGTTAGAATAGAAAAAGAAGTTTAAAATGTGAGGTGATCATTAGTACAAAATAATAACCATCATCAAAAGAAAATTGCTTAGTTTTTCATACCATGCTCTAGGGGCTTGTTTTAAACCATACAAAGATTTTTTGAGCTTGTAAACAAAATATGAGTTTTTATGATTTTCAAAACTTATAGGTTGATGTACATAAAATTCTTCAGTAATGTAACCATTCAAAAATGCACTTTTAACATCCATTTGATATAGAATGATGTTATGATTTACTGCAACAGAAATTAAGAGATGAATAGAATCTAATCTGACCATTGGTGCAAAGATTTTAGTATAGTCAATTCCCTCTTGTTGACTATAGCCTTGTGCAACCAGTTTTTCTTTGTTTCTTACTACTTCTCCTTTCTAATTCATCTTGTTTCTGAAGACCCATTTGGTCCTATTACACGAGTTCCTTTTAGTCTGGGCGCAAGATCCTATACATCATTTTTGAAGAATTGATTCAGCTCTTCTTGCATATCCAGAATGCAATCCATGTCTATAAGTGCTTCATCTATGGAGGTAGGTTCTATTAAAGACACAAATCCCATAATAACTTCTTCAGGAGTTTTAAATGAGGATCTGTTTCTAATGGGTTATAGTTTATCTCACATAATTAATTCCTCAGGATGTGAAGAACTCTGCCTTTGTTTCCTCAGAGGTGCTGAAGAGGCAGCAACTTCTGATTCAGATTGAGCCGCTTTGAGTTGAGAATCTTCATATTCTTTTACTTCAGATTCCTTGTCTTCAGAATCTGAGTAGCTAATCTCCAGATTTTCAATTTTTTCAACTAGCTTTAAATTTTCAAGGCCAAGCTTATCATCAAAAGTAACATGAATTGATTCCACAATAATTCTTATTTCAGTGTTATACACTCTATAGCCTTTTGTGGTTTGGAATCAAACTTGCTTAAGTTCTCTTAAGTGTCTAGAATAAAACAAGAACATCCAAAAGGATGAAAATATGAAATGTTGGGTTTTTTGTTCTTCTACAATTCATAAGGGGTCTTACCCATAATAGGTCTAATAGAGATCATGTTCTAAATGTAACACGATGTACCCATAAGTACTTTACAACATTTGTTTCATTTATCATGGTTCTAGCCATTTTTTACAATGTTCGATTCTTCATCTCTATAACTCAATTATGCCGAGGAGTTATGGGCTTGTGACCCGAGGCGTGGGGAGGATTATCGTTACCCTTTTCAAGTGGAATACTTGATCAAAGAAGAAACTAAGACCCGTTCGTGACTTGTGACCCAAAGCGAGGGGAAGTTTATTATCTTTCATCATTTTATCCTCAAATTTGTTTTATATCCTAGTACTAGTTGATTGTTAGTGTTCCCCAGTGGAGTTGGATATTTTTCCATATACACTTTTCCCCTGTGGCAGCTTTTCCACCACAGATTCCTCATCTTGCATTCATTTCATATCATATCATATCATATGCATTAGGTGGCACCTTAGGGCCAAAAATTGTGCATGTTTGTATTTAAGTCTCTCCTATCATGTCAAGACGAAGGTTTCAATCTTCACATCTCCGGATAGAAGAAACTTAAATAGGGGCATCTATCAAACCCTAATTTTTAACCCTAAAATTTCACCTCCTCCTGCATCATCTTGCATCATTTTAGGTCAATCGTCTATGCATGGCTAACCCATTTATCTAGCTTTGTTTTTTTTCTTTTGTTCATCTGTGAATTAGGGTTTTATTCCAAGGAGGTTAAGGGATTTATCAGTCAAATTATGGAGAGATTTTCAACCAATCAAGTTATCATATTCTCAAGACATCTCCCTCCATAAAAATTCAAGGAAAGATGGCCTCACATCATGTGATTTAAATATTTAATGGCACCTAATCAAGAACTAGGGTTCTTCAACCAAGATTAGGGTTACAAGGTTGTGTAGTTGATCAAGCTACTAGTGGCACCCGTGCTAGGGTTTTTGACTAGAGACATCTTGTAGTTGATTCTCGAGGCAAGACTTATTCATTTGGATCCTTTTCATCCCAAGTTTCTTATATGTCTCATGGCTCATCACAAAGTCCCTCAGAGGTTCATTTGGGCAGAGGAATGGTCAAGATTTTCATCTGGTCAAAGAAAAGTCAACTGTGGTCCTGAAGAGGTTCAAAGCTTGACTTTTGGTCATTTAGGTCATGAGAGGTCATTTCAAGTCATTATAAGTTCTATGGTGAGGTTTAATCAAGAAGAATCAAGGAGAGTCATAAAATCAGGAGGTTGCTAAATTAGGGTTTTAAGAGTATTTCTGAGTGTAAAATACCCTCTTTTAGCACCTAAATTCCATGGCAAGTTTCACCATGATATAAGCTCTATCTCATTTCTCCATCAACACGAAAATTTTAGAAACTTTTCTAAGCTTCCTTTTGATGTAAAGAACTCCTCCATTGGATTTACACATCTCAAATTATGATGTCTTCAATTTGGTCTCTCAAAGTTGAAAGGACTTAAAATCATCCAAAGGTAACCGACTTCTAAGACAAATTTCACATGGATCCAAGCTTTTCCTCAAAATGCTTTCAACATAAGAGTTGTTCTTAATCCTATAAGCTTTCAAAAAGTGCAAGAACTTACCATTTCTATGTTTAGAACTCAAGTTATAATCTTTCTAAGTCAATTCCATTTTTAGATGACCTAGTTTTGGTCATTCACTTCAAGGCTAGAATTCATGAACTTTTATGCTTCAATTCAAGTTACCTACAACATGAAAGTTGTAACCCATGTGTCGCAACTGCGAAAAAGAGCGGTCGATGGAAACAAACAGAAGAGTTGTCACTGAACGTTATTTATCCCAAAGAGAGGGAAAGGAAACGATCGAAGAAAACTTAAAAGAAACGGGAAAAGTCAAGGTCATCGCAACCAAATCTTGGATTCGGAGTCGGTTACGCAAGGGGAAGGTATTAACACCCATCACTTCCGTTGTACTCAACGGGATCCACACTTGTTGTCTAATCTATAGGTGAAAACTATCTAAAAGCTACTGCTAAACAAGGGGGGGAGGGGAAGAGAAAGAACAGAATCGATAGGACATCGCCGCCCTATGCATATGTTTTTACTTGTGCAATGGGAAAGTTAGAGTCAACGTAGTTCGGGAAACTAAGGGTGAAAGTTTGGTTAAGTATTTTTGCGAGTGACGTTAAATCTCCATTCCAACAGTTAGGGACGATGCATGTTTGCGGTAGAACAGAAATGTAACGTACTCTTTTTGAAAGTGAAGTTGAAACAATCCCGAATGGATGAAAAGGTTTGAAAAACAGGTTGGTCTCGATTTCACTGGGGGCAAGAGAAAAGGGGAAGTTAGTTGTTAGTGTGCTCGTCACGGATTGGGGCCCTTGTTCCTACGTATCTTTACTTAAAAGAAGTAAAGAATCAGAGCAACCGTAGTTCATCCTACGGTTTGCTGGGAAGTTCTGGTAGACGATGCTAGCATACGCATTCTAGCAGTCTAGGTGTATTTTTGCTCGCTCGTTAGAGACTTAGGCGTTACCTGTTTGCGGTAGAAAGGACATAGCATGTCCTTTTGGGTGATGATGAATGGAGGGCTAAAGGTGGAAAAAAAGGAAGAGTGCTCGCTGGGATTATCGCAATCCTATGCCTACGTATTCTCAACAGATATGAGAAATTATAGCAGCCGTAGTTCGACCAACTACGGAAAAGGGTCTCGATCGCACGAGGACGAGAGAAAAAGGTCATAGGCTTGAAACGCCTAAATGGAAGTGAATCGGCTTGGTTTGGGATGCGTACTGCACTAAAATCTAAGACATAGGAGCGAATGCATCGCATATCGCCCAACGGGCATACGCTAAACACTATAGACAAGTGATGAGAAACCCCTCCCTCGTCATTTCCTACGTACCTAACGCTCGACGCACGAGATACTCACAGAAGTTATTAAGTGTTTTGAATTAAGGATGACAGTGTTAGTGAATCGAATCGGGACAAAATGTGATGCTAGACCGTCGTAGCTCGACTTATGAGGGAAGTCGAACTATAAGAGGCCGCGTAAATTGATATTCGTGCTATGGACAAGATAGAGAAATGATATTGAGGATCATTCTCCGATTAAATCATGTCGCACGGACCAAAAAAAGGTGGGATCTCGTCTTAATCGCAAACATTATGTTGATTAATCGAAGGTAGCCTATCCCGATCCCAAAGTAAAGAAAATGATCCAAATGGTCATTTTCCATATATTTGAAATTGTGAAGGTTATTGAATTTGATAAACCGATGCTTACGAATCGAAAGACATCATAGATCGGGGAAAATAAATAAAATTAAAAATGAAGAAGAAATGAGGAGAGAAAAAAGGTGGTCTCGGATCCATCATTAGTTATCAATAGTTTGACTAGTAACGATTTTCGGAAGTCTCATCATCGACCGAAAAAGATAAAATGAATAAAAATCGAAAATGAAAAGTTGTAAAGAAAAATGGTCTCGGACTTGTTGCTATTCGTCAATAATTTGACAAACTACAACTTGGAGGTCTCTTCATCGACCGAAACAAAATAATACGAAAGTAAAACCTCAACGATAAATAAAAATGCTAAAATCTAAATCTTAGAAAAATATATATTAAAATTCTAAAACTAAAAATAATAATAAACGCATCATAAAGTTCTAAAAAATTTAATTAGAAAATATACAAAAAAACTTTAAAGAACAATGAAAAATCTTTAAAAAAAACTAATTTAAAGAAAAAAAATACATTGAAAATAAAAGGGGGGAGGGTGTGATTAAGACACGAGGGTGGTGTGAATAATGGAAAGAAAGAGTCATGATCACTTGGGCTCTAAGGCCCATCACCAATCCGTGAGAAGAAAGCAAATGGGGGGTTGGTTCTCAAAATTAAAAAACAAACAGAATAAATATATTTTTTATTTATTTTAAAAGCAAAGTCCAACATCCAAAATATTATCAACAGACAAAACAAATCTCCTCATCAGTTTCATGTAAATCCTCAAAATCAAATTCAAAATCCTGATCATCTACATCGTCAATAGGTTTCATGCTGAGTTCTTCCATCAACTCATTATCAGTATCCTCGTGCTTCCCTGATAACTCCCTCTGCATAATCGCCTCCAGGATCGAAGGAAGCATCTGCTCGTCGCCTTTTAGGTATTTATCAATCTGCGACTTCAGCTCTTTGTTATCGACGTCTTCGATTTCGACGGGGGCAGTGTCTTTGATGGAGGGAGGTTGAGAGGCTTTTTCATCGGAGGAGAAGAGTCTGAATCGGGAGGGAGATGAAACGACGAATGCGGCGGTGGAGGAAGAGTAGTGAAGGGTTACGGGTTGGGGATTGAATGGAGGTTTTGGAGGTGGGGGATCCGTGTTGCTGTGATTCGATGACATTGTTGGGGGTTTGTTCATGGTTTTTATGAAGAGAGGCGGAAGAGGATTATGGGTTTGTGGGTTTATGAAGTTTTTTGGGGTTGAAGGGTTGTGAGGAGAAGATGAAGAAGAGGTTCGCGGCGGAAGGAGAGAGGAGAAGAGGAGATAGGCTCGCGACAGAAGGTTTGAAGAAGGGAGGCTTAGGGTTTCTCGGTGGATCGCGGAAGAAGATGAAGGGAGAGGCGGCTAGGTTTTCTCTGTTGAGAAGATGATGAATAGTGATTTAGAATTTGGTGGCTGAGGGTTCAGATCTTGAAGATGATGAATAGTTGTGGGTCTTTATATTGTAGCAACACGTGTTCCCCTTCATCTTTTTTGTCTTTTTTTGTTTAAATTTTGATTAATTAAAGAAACCTAATCCTAAAATCTAATCTATTTAAATCTAAATTAATTCCTAAACTCTAATTAAAAAACTAATTTTATTCTAATAATAATAATTCTATTCTAATAATAATAAAAAAGTATATTCTAATCCTATTTAAAATTCTAAGTCTTAATTCTATTTTCTAAATAAAAACTAAAATTCTAATTAAGTTCTAATGCTATTAAATTCTAATAAAAATCCTAAACTCTAATTTCTAATAAAATTCTAATCTAATCCTAATTAAAATTCTAAATTATAATTTCTAAACTTTAATTAAAATTCTAAATTCTAATTTCTAAGTCCTAATTCTAATTAATTATATTACTAATATATTATAAAACAAAAATAAAAATAAATCACAAAATGCCACGAAATAAAAAACGAATAAAAGGGTCGAACACCGAAACACAACAAAATTATCAGCACCGACTGAACCACCAGGAAGAGAACAACCTTTGTTCGATTTCGAAATAGAACTTATCATTTGAGCTGGTTTAAATTGTCTAAAACGCTAACAAATCGGTTGTAATCCCGATAAACCCATTCCGGCTGATAACATGGACAGTATGCGAGAAATGATCGACCTAGATGATATGCAGATGAATGCGAAGCAAAAGCCAGATAAAGTTAAAAAAAGTGAGGGCAAATTTTGGGGTGCAACACCATGGTATTGCATTCACCATGACCTCAAATTTCATTTCATTTGGTATCTTGTTATGCATGTTAAGGTCCAAAATGCGAAATTTAGTAACTTTGCATGAACTAGTTTTGACTATTCACTTCAAGACAAGAATCCATGACTTTTTAAGCTTCAACTCAAGATGTTGTCAACACAAAAATTGCTCATCATACTTAATGTTTCAATTTGATCATAATACTTCACGGTCATGCGAAAAATCCATCAAGATATACTCATTTTAAGTGCCATACATGCTTATGACCATAATGCATCATATCTTTGTCACGTGTACTGCATCATCACTATCATCATGCATCACCAAATATTGCCTAATGTGACCAAACATGGATCATGTAATTCATATTTTCATTTGAATTTTGTTACCAAAGAAGCAAAAATTGGCTCTCATTTCCTCTCCCATATGCTACCCATTTCACACATTCTCATGACCATTTTTACTCAGCAAACCACCCAAAAACAAGTAACTACACACCATGACCTGTATGCACCATTTCTCACTTATTTTTGTCAAAAAAATCCAAACAATCCATTTCTTTCCATATGTGCCTTCAAAAAAACTCATAAACCCTCCTATATAAAGGAAACAAAACCCTAAATGTGAGGAGAATATTATTCTATAGAGAAAGAGATGAAAAAATCACCTCAAGAGCTCTCACTTTCTCTCTCTTTGAATTTTCTTTTTTCTTGAAGATTATGCTTCTCTTTTGCTTGATTCTTCATCACTGAGACACAAGAAGACCATTGGAAGGATTTGTTTCAAGTTACTGCACAGTTTCAAGGACCAACGAAGCCTCTCTATTGAGTAATTTTCTTCATATATTTTCTCTCATGTTAGACGTGCATTAAGTTCATGATTGGTTGCATCTGAAGCCCTACCATGTGTAGGCAATGTTTGAATGCTTGATGTGCTTGTTTAAGCAATTTCCAATTTGTGTATCAAATCTTCGTGCATTGATTTCATGATTTTAGATTAACCTTTTTGAAAATCTAAGGCCACATTCTTGTTCCTCATGAAATTTCCTTCAAAAATATGTCTTTGAATTTTGATTTTTATAAGGTTTTGCAAACAGCTTCGGCATGTCTAGTCGGAGAAGACGATCAGAGCTAGGGCTCCGGCGTCTGAGGTGTGAATATGAGGTGGCATGTGATGTGGGCTTTTGACCTGCATGCGTGTGTGTTGAAAAGTGATGTGGCGTGCCAAATCCTTTAATGAAACGTTGCGTTTCATTTTTTCTGATGTTTGCTGATTTTTTTAGACCATGGGCTTTGTGCTTTTGCTATCTGCGCACCTATCTTTTGGCCCAATAGCGCGTTTAACCTAATTTCCCTTGTAACCTATTTTGCTTGATGCACCCCTTCCATCATCCTCCTTTTATTTTTTTATATTTTCTTTCTATTTTACATTCTGATTTTATTTTAATATCTCCAAATACTTAAAGATCCCACAAAAATATTTTCTTGATACTTGGATGTGTTATTTAATTTTTCATAATTTTAATTTTAATTTTAAATTATTTTTGATATTTTATTTGGATTTAATTGTGTGATGTGTCTATTTGACCTAGTTTTGAATTAATGCTTTGATTCATATCCTTCCCAATTGATTCTTGACCCAATCTTTTGAACACTTTTAGGCACATGTATGTAGTGCATTTGAATTTTCATTTGATGTCTTGATCATGTATTTTAAGTTCATGTTTTGATCTCTTTTGATGCCTAACTTCTTTGATCAATGGATGATATGTTTGCCTAATGTTTGAGATGTTTTGAGTATCTTTTGTACACATTCTTGGGAAATCTTTTAGAGCATATTGAGCCACTACCCTCTTGATATCATGACCATTTTTCCATAATTTTTTAAGCCTCTTGACTATTTTTCTTTAGTGATGCATTAATTTCCTAATTGTTTGAATGTATTTGAACTTTATGGATTGGTTAGAGGTGCACTTGTGCAACCACTTAGGGTTTGTTCTCTCCTTTTATTCTTGATTGAAATACCATGAGGTAGAGCCTTTGGTTAAAATTTATTAGGTCATTCTTCCATCTTGATTGATGCCTAGTTGTAGTTTGTCTCTTTTGATTGAACATGTTTGATGCATGACCTAGTTTGGAGTCATATTACTTATTTGTGTTTGGTTGAAGTTTGAAATGATTGGTTGATGTGATCATATTTTGTATTGACTTGATTATGTCTTTGGTTTCATTATCATTTGTTTATTTTCCTATTGTTGGTTGAAATTTCTAGATGATGATGTTTTAAGCTTGCTCCTCTGGTGTTTTTGACCTAGTTTCTCAAGGTGCTTTCTTGCATGACCTTAATGAATGCCTATGAGTTATTTTATGTTTTAAATGACATGTTTTAGGGCTTGATTTTCATGTTGTGTTGATCCTTGTATGATCCCTTCTCATTCTTTTCTTCACATGATCATCTTTGTTCTTGTTTTATGTAATATGAATGGTGTTTGCCTAACATTTTGAGCATGATGATTGTTGATCTTGTTTGATATTTTGGGAATTAATGTGATGCTATACATTTGAGTTTGGTTCTGACCTTGATGCCATGGTGTGTATAATTTTATCATTTGTGCTTTGCGCCTTGCTTGAACACTTATATTTTTCTTTTGGAATGATCATGTTATATGTTTTGGCTAGTCTTGATGCATGTTATGAACTTATTCTTTGATGTTTTCTCTTGTAATTAATAAGTTGATGTTCTTGATTATGTTTCTGCCCCTACTTGGTTTTAAACCTTCATTTCACATGGCTAATCTTTTGAAGTGTGTTTTGCATGAGTTATGTGTGGGCAATTGTTTGAGTGTTGGTGTGATGCATGTCTTGTGTGTTGTTGCTCCTCTTCTAATATTTCATATGATTTGAACATGATATGATTTAGCTACTGACCTTCTTTATTCTCATTTCATATTTGTTCATCTTGCTTTGTTACTTTGACGTTTGATGTCTGTTTAGGGTTATTTACCCTTATATACTTTGCATTCTTGGTTTTCTTCTGTACTTGACATGATGCATACTTGGTACATGATGTGATGTCTTGCTTTATAAGTTGATTGGATATTATATTAATTGTCTCACATGTTGATATTCAATCATTGATCTTTGTCTTTGACTTTTGATGTCCATCATCTACATTCTTCTGATATTTTGGTTGCCTCTGTTGTGAGTCCAAGGGAAGGACTTTTGGTTGACTATATTGTCATGTGCATTACATCTCTTTTGTATTTTCCTCTTCTTCTTCTTACTTTTTTGCTTGATCCTTATTTTCCCCTTTAGGTTGATTATCTTAGGATGTATACACTTATATTATTCCCCTTAGACTAACACACTTAGTCTGTATCCTTAGGCTAGCTCCTATTAGGATTGCTTCAACTTTATATAACCTACAATTAGGTTCCCTTTCTCCCATGAGAGAATTAGACATGAGTCATACCTAGTTGAGATTTAATTCTCTTACCCCATGACATAGTTAAGAAAGATGTTGATTTATTTTCCACTTGAGGGAGGTATGTGGCGTACTCGTTGATTTTATATCCGAGTTGGAGCCCTTCTCTTAATGTGAAGCAAAGATCCATCTTCCACATGTTTGTGATGGTTCAAGTTGAGTATTTTCCTTAAGATGAAAACTTGTCTCTTCTCCTAAAACCAACCAACAAACTTTGCTTTTACCCGTAGTGAGGTGAACTACGAATGCTCTGATTCCATCCTAGTTAGGATATGTAGGCACGAGATGCGATGCCTTGGTGAGCATACTTAGGGATAACACCTTAGGTCTTCCTTCCCCTTTTCACCCTTACCAAACAGATAACAAATAACATATTAAAATAAGAGATTCCCGTAGAGTACTACAGATACTTAGGATGCTAGCACCTTCCCTAGGTATAA